TAATATGTTGTCTGCTATGAAAGCAACCTGGGTAAGTGGTGTGTCCTCAAGCCGGGCCGTAATCATAGGCTGTGTATGTGTTGGTAATAATTCGAGCCATAATTCCTTAACTATTTCGCAATTGACTGTGGTGAGTCCTGCTAAAGATTTCAGGCACGTGAGGTGGTGGCTCAGTCAAACCTCACTCAGGATGTGAAGTGCTAATAATGTCCTCAATCGTTCGTCTGTCGATGGGAAGAAATATCTGAGAATCCCCTCCTTGAGACATTCGTAGATGTCAGGTACATTGTGACTGGGGACTAGCTCGCAGAGAGCGGCAATATGATCACCAGGTAGAGCTTCTAGAGCGGTGGGTGTATTTCTGCCGCTGGTTCGTAGTGCGGCGGATCTCGAATTGAGCTTCCAGTAACGCCAACCAGACGCATGGATCGTGAGGGATAAATGAAACAGGTCGGAAATTGATAACCTATACGTCGGGGTCTATTATATTAGTACTAATCTTATCGTTATGCGCCATTTCGAGAATATATATATATATATATATATATATTGAAAGGCATCGATATGAAGTGTGCAACAAATGTGGACAGATAACTAATGGACTCACCGTAATTCCAGCGGTTGATGCTTGTCCGCAGTTGTCACTCAACAGATGTAGTTGGCGTCGAGTCGCGGTTGACTATGATCACCACTACAGATCGACTACGTGCCAGGTACCAGGTTAAACCACACCGTAGGCCAAATATCAGAAGGCGGTTGAAGGCTGTAGCTAAGATATATTTGTTGGCGATCTCGTGGTATCGAAATAGTACAGAAATCGTGCTAAAATATACAAGCGAGACGACTGAGAGTACGAGAGTTCGTGCCGAGGACACAAACAACGGAAGATAGTGCGTTTTAGTACACTTAAACAAACGGGTACAGTAAAGCACTTCACTGGTACAGTTGGTTATTATAATAATTGATTCCAATATACCAATCGCGTTCTCTTCATAAAAGTAGGTCACTGCGACTCTCCTTTTCACCAATGACGTGTAGTATTCTTTCAGCATGGTAAACCTTTCATTTTCGCCGATGACCTAAAAGTGGATTATCCATTCTCTTCTTCCACCAAACAAAGCTATATTTCGGCAGTTTTTTAAGAAGAAATAAACAAATTATACAAATGGACTATGTCATGGAATCTATTGAATTTTGACAGAAGTCGATTTATTCACATTGTCCGCTGCCTTACCATAAATCTGGTTATACACAAACATACACTGAAACCTCTCAACACTGTTCGTGACTTGGGTTTAAGATATAACAACAGTTTGAACTTTTCCGAGCACATTGCATCTCAAGTATCCAAATCTAGAAAGCTCATCGGATTCATAATGATACACTTCAATAACATCGAATCGAGATAATAACTATACGAAGAATGTATTTTACCCATTCTTGAATATGGTATTTTAGTTTACAGAAATTTCATACTTAATGATCTGATTAGAATTGAGGATGTTCAAAAAAGGTTCACAAAAGCTGTTTTGGAGTACTCCGACACCAAGTATTACTACCATAGATGTTAACAACTCAGGTTAGAAGCTATGTAGACCACGCACATTAAATCAAACCTTGCCCTTATTTACCGGCTTATAAATGGTTTTTCTTACTGTTCGGCCTCCATCCCTTCGAACTATGTTGTGTTATCCCACAACCTACACAATAGAGAAAATATTCTAGCGATTCCAAGAACCTACACAATTTTACGCTAGATCCTTTTCGTTATCGACTACTCAACCATGTGAAACAGATTCCCAGTGAACCTCAGTTGCAGCGAAACTATAAACTGGTTCAGAAGTCTTATTGATTTTCTTTGTGAAAGTGGATTGTTTCGTCTATTGAAAATCAATGTGTTTAACAATGATTTATACAAACACGTTCCGTCGTCTGTCTAACTGACTGAAAAGCAAAATCTAACCTTTGAAATCTTGCTCGTTTATTCTCTTTTTTTCATCTAGATATCTGAAGTCTGCTAATTTTCATATTCATATTCATTATTGTCATCATTATCACGACTGATATTTTTTCGTCCCTTCTAAACATATTTTATTCCAAAACATCAAAAATCGACAATTAAAAACGAATTGCTTTGTATTAAACTCATTGTGACGTGTATATTCAAAGATTTTGTAACGGCAAAGTGAAAACTACATTTTTTCTTTAAATTATCATACTTTGTATGTAACTTCATTTATATATAATATCTATTGTTTCTCTGTATCAAGGTAAATGAACATATTTAATTGTTCGGTTATACACACACACTACCGCGATTGTTAAAATCTGAACGCTATCTCCGCCGTCTGTCCTATTTTATTGGCCACGGCATTTGATTGGAGATTAGAATAGTGTTATAACATCCTTCTAAGCCTTCCAAAACTACGTTGGCGATTTGGCCTAGATCATTAAATAACATTATTGGATTTAGTCATTCTCATAACGCGGTTGATCCGACACCTGCAGAAGAATCTTCGTTAATCAAGTAAACTCATTTGTGATTGCTATCTCAGAAAGCAGCTTACATGTAGCATTCATTTCATAACAACTGTTATCACTTTGTTATTTAATGTACGATTTTTATTGTAACTGCAATTCGTTACCTTTTGCTTTACTCATAGACAGATACGTAGGTTTGTGGTGTTAACTCTTTTTTTGGTATATTATTAATAGCTCTGCGTATTGTTATGTCTTGAATAAACTATTGAGGGGATCCACCACAAATTTAAATATATCCCATTAATTTTACCTTCACCATAAATTAGTCGTGACTTTTATAGCATCTTTCTAAATTATTACTCAGTCGTTTAGATAAATATCAAGTTTTATTCTGAACCCTGCTATGTAAATTTACTTATATTCACTCGAGTGCACAAAAAATTATTGTTTTACTTAAGGTTTATCTTATTTATTTAAACATAAACATTGGTAAAGGATGCACAAAATAGATAAGCGCAACATAAATCAAACAACCTGTGTGAGGGCTAGGCTACCTTCAGGGTGCCCAAACTGAGGCAGGTGGTTCTCTTAAGAGGCCATACTCGACGCACTTGACCTAGAAGTTTGATTCACAAGGCTGTGGGGCAACGCCATGTGATGTGGTCTTATGGTAGCAGGTGACGAACGATTGGTTTATGATCCATTTACTCCTTCAGGATACCGGAATTTAAAAAAGGAGTACACACTCGTAAACTGGTGTGGATTGTTGATCAAGTGTCTTCAACTATGTGTGTTGAGTAAAATATATGAAGTCAGGATCTATGCCGAAAACTCACAGAACTGTTTATTTAGGTGGTTCGTTCACTATTACAGATATAAGACATGTTCATCATTTTGTTTCAAGAAATGTTAAAGGAAACGGATTTGTCGGTATATTGATCAGACCAAATGTGACTCTTGAAGTGCATAGTTTATTTATCTTAATAACTAACAAATTACGTCCTATGTTTTTTTCATGTACTGAAATTGATCAATGTCTTTAACTCTGGTCTAATTTTGATAGAGAAAATCAGTGATATGCAAAAACAAATCAATTTACAAGAGATTTTCTTGTTTCAAAAACTTAGTCATAATGCAGTCTTGTTGTATATTTCTACAAATTCATCGCAATATGATTAGTGACAACAATCAATATTATATAAAATAGTAACTCTTCATATAATTAATTACCAAGCGATTATCCACTAATTACATAGTTAGTAAACATTAGGTCCCCAATCACCGTAATTCGGAGAAATCCAGGGGAATATTGGAGGAATTTCGGGGTTTTCTAAGAAGTCATATGAAAATTTGTAGTTTTCAAAAGTTCGGGGAAATTCGCACGAAAAATACAGATCAATGGGTTTGATGGTGACTTCCACAAAGTCAGTGAAAATTCTGGAGAAAAGCTCCAAAATCGGTGTTGCGCAGTTGCGTGAAGAAGAATTTATTATTAACAGTACTGTTTGAGCTTATTTTTGACATAATCAAAATAAATTATATTGTTTTTGAATGATAATCAATTTCTTCACACATTCCAGTACCAACAATTCGGCCTTGTTTCATGTCATACGAGCACGAGACAAGGAAGCGTTTGTTACACGCCACTTATTTCTAATTATTCCTCATCTTGTGAAACACTATATTTGTATCTTCACATTTACTTCTCTATTTGAGTTATATTGAGATATATCATCCATTTTGTAATATGCAGTCATCTCTGCTTCTGCTCATCAGGGATTCTCATTGTTGTGTTTTCAAATGTATTAGTCATTAACCCATCCAGTATGCTAGAAGTACCTCTTCTCGTTTTCGCTTCTGACCAAATAATTAGAAATTACAAGAGCAAGTGAGTGAACACTAACCTAGAAAGAAATGACTTAAGTTTTGCGTGGGTCGAGAAACATTGCAATTTCATAACATCACACAAAAACTAACATTTCGATAATCCAATAAGTTTTCTGAATTATAATGATAGGAAGTATTGCGTCAACTATCCATACCTCAATCTTATTGTATGTATGACTGTGAAAGAATTATGCTCATAATTTAGGCCTCTTGGTTGCTATCTAGTTGAAATGCAATGCAATACTCATAATACTTGCGACCAGAAATAGAGTAGTTGGCCTCTTTCTCCATTGTCAACCAGTATTATCCAACAGTTTACTCACAACTCCATTGATAAAATGAACGTTAACTAATAAATGACTACAGATAATTTTGACGTTATCCAAGTTCCGAAGTAATTCAAGAAAGTGGTATTTAGTGATTGTTTAACGAACTGTTTTAGAAAATGTTGCAACGGGTTTAAATCCTAGTATATCAACGATACGACAATGAATGCCTGTATTGGTACTGAAGGTCTGACACTGTCATTTAGGTGATGATAACAATTTCGATTTTCACTTTGACAGATTCTTATATAAATATGAACATCAAAAGCAGATAAACAGCACATGAACTGCATATAAATAACAAACTCATTCACAAAATACATGTCTGTATATCCATAAATCATTTGATGAATTCTTATATAATCTAACCTGATAAATATTACAAATAACAAATATACTTACATGAAACACATGAAATTAATCATTTGAACAAAATACCACAAAATATACACTAATGTATGAAAGTGTACAAAATAACACTAAGAAATAGTAAATAATAAAGGTTATTTAGATGAAGTCCTCTGAGTTGAAATCAATTGTTTCCTTCGTCACAATGTGACTGATTCGTGTATGGTCCGATACAAAGCGAGTACATGGTTGCATGCGCAATAAATGTATTGTCCAATGAAGAATGAAATAGTTCACTGTAAGGTCCATTAGCATAAATCGGTACATCCTCAGCACTGTGTGTAGAAAAACGGAGTCTCACCAATGATTCTGCCGTATAGTTGCTTGCAAATCTATCTTCTGTTGCCGGATCTGATCGAGGTGCATCCAATATACCTCTTGGTCCATTGAAATAGGAAGATATGAGATATGATTTATTATCATTTCCCTGTAACGCAAAACAAAGCAATATTAGATGATTTCGCTTCACTGATGGTAACAATATTTCTCATATGGTCTACTTTTATTGTATATCACACACGATTTGAATCCTTAATAATGTTATTGATGACAGAGACGGGTAATTTAGGATGTTTCGAAAAATAACAAGGTTGTTCTAAATGACTGTAATTTTCCTCAAAATCTTCCAACATTTTGATTTCCCAATGTAAAGAAGAGTAGATATTCAGTGAAAATATTAAAAACATTTCTAAGTAAAGTTACATTGTGAAACTGCAAAAATACCAGTAATTTCTTTGATACATCACACAAGCTACTTTATATTTTTCGAATATGAACCCATTTACAAAGACAAGTGAAAGTCTTGGTGATTGTGACCTCTCACCAGCTGACCAGAACTTATATTTCGCAAGTAAACATACAGTATAAATTATAGTCAACATTATAGTTGGTGAATTACCCTCATATTTAATGATGAAATAATTTTGATGAATAGTTATTTGTGAAAACACATATTTACGTGGATTTTCCTTTGAATACATCCAATGAGGTTATTTTCAGTTACAAATTAATGATTTCGAAACCGAGCACACCATGACAACTTTATCATGCCATTACGCATAGCATATCCATTTACTCTCATCAAAATTAAATTTCATCAAGCAAACGATACCGATGCGAACAAGGGTGAATTCGAACAATATTATTAATATTATTATTAATAGTGTAGAGAAGAAGAATTCCAAATACACATGAGGTATTAGAAATTATACTTTTCGATAAATTATCTTCAGGTTCTACAATCATATATCCAAATTAATAATCCGAAAAATGGCAGGATTGAGCGTAAAGTACATCGTTCAAAGTTAACATTCTATCTGAGTCATATCAACATTAACAATCTTATTGTATTTTGTTTATCACAATCCTAAATTCACATACTTTAAACGATGTACTTTACCCTTAACCTGGCCATTTTTCGGATTATTAATTTGGATATATGATTGTAGAACCTGAAGAGAATTTAGCGAAAAGAATATTCTTCGTTCAAATATTGGTCTTTTAATATGATGATTATCTTTAAATGATTAGAAATCATGATACTCAGATATATAAGTATGCAAGTGCATCGCGCGTTTTAAGTAATTGACATCTAACCTACTAAGATGTGTATATGTGTAGGTTGCAACTGGTGATTGGTCACACATACTCTCACAAGCCGGTAATGATAAAGTAAAGATATAGGCAAATAGTTACCGACACAAGTGACACTGACTATTAAGTGAGTTATTCAGAAGGCACAATACACATAAACGTATACAAGCTCAAGTGAAGTTGAGATCGCTATAATGTAACAAACTCGTGTCATTATGCTTGAATTATTGTCCATATTTTACACGAATTCATTGATCTCACCATTTACGTGTATGCACTGGTACCATTAATTCGACAAACTCTCAATTATCACAGCTGGTGAGCAGTGCAAACTTTGAATCGGTGTGCCTAAAACTGCACTTAAAGTCAAATGAATGAAGTAGTTTAAGAATTGATTTGTTTTACAAACAATTGCATTTGTTTTACTGTGCTCTCAGTTTACATGGAGTTCACTTTCAACCCATTTCAACTACTTTAAAGAGGCAATCAATGGTTATCCGACCGACTCTTTCATCTGCTTAGAACAAATCCGATGCATTATGCGATTGCATTATTTAATGACCTGTCAATCATGTCAAATGACGAGAATGTGTTGTCGAATTCGTTGATAAAATATGTTAGTGACGACGAAGTAGTCAATCTTTCGTTTGCCTCCCGAATATTGGACTAGTCTGTATCCTGTTAACAACATTTTGATACTCATTAAATCTTATTTCACAATTGATTTCATTAAGAATATATATCAACTGAAGAACTTCCGATAAGCCGCCAAATGCCCTGGTACGGCCGAGAGTGGGGAGAGTCCGCTCTCCCTCTCGATATGCTCTCACATGATCATGCGTATATAGCCTCTGCCAGGGAAGTCATACTCACTGCCCTCTCGTGGCAAGGGTGTTGTTTACGAAAATGAGAGGACGAAAAACGAATGTCCGGCGCTTCAAGCGGATCCCAAACCAATGGTGCACATGAGCTCCAGTATTCTGAGGGAACAAATGACGTGTGAACCAGTTGTTGGTCACTGGCTACCATGGGGCTGCATCTCCTCACGATGCCCCACTGTCTTTTGGGTCAGACGTTCAGGTCGAAGGCTCGGGGTGTGGCCCCCTAAGGAAACCACCTGCTTCGGTTTGGGCACCCTGGCAGTATCACAGCCCTCACACAAATCAATTGAGATTCGTGTGGCGCATATGTATTTGGTGCCTCCGTGACCCAATACCTGTGTTAAAATAAATAAATAAATAGATATACAGTGTTCATGTCTTCAGGTCAGCACATTACGGTTAAACCACTGACTCAGTATCCGATAAGTTAAATCTTCATGGAGACACATTGTTAAAGTACTCCCCATTAGAAAACAGAAGTTGTTCATTAACCCACTGTTTCCAGGACCTCCCGGTTGGTATCAATCCGTGACAGAAATCCACTACAATCTGATTAGGTCTCCACAAACATCTAGACCAAACGGGAATCGTCTTTTCACTCAATCATTGTAAGCCTTGGGAATTGTTTCGGTGTTATACGCGAGCTTTTATCTTCAATCTTACTGCTGATAAACCTTTCAAACGGATCATACAATTTCGATATTATTCTCCAGTATGTTAACTAAAGTGAGACTGATTGTGTCTGCTTGTGTTTTGCCAGATTACATTGAATGTCCCGTATCGAATCTCTGTTTATGTGACCATAACACATACTTTCAGGCGTCAGATATGTGAACTTTGAAACTGTGGATACAGTTGCTAACTGTTTTGAAACTTGAAATATTTTACCAAGCATAACTTCGAGTTAATATTCTCATTCGATTTCGGATTATCGAAGCTTGACACTGATAGGTTCATTTATTGACAAATACATACATCAACTATTTGAAAGAAACTTTTTCCGATTTACTCAAATGCGTAAAAATGGAACAGGGTTAACACTTACTTTTTCAGTATTATCCACATCTAGCACACTCGTGTCCCTTGTCGGATAGCCAACCACTCCATAAACGTGAGAATGGTCAGCTGTTACAAGCAGCAAAGTTTCTTGTTGATCAACAAGTGACAATGCTTTCTCTACGGCTTTTTCGAGCTCCAAAGTTTCAGTTAACGCATATCTGTAATCAGTAAAAATTTGGAAAATTAATCGTATCATCAATCCACTTAAAATCAAAACTACATGTGTCGAAAACTTTAATAAACAACAATAAGGAATAATCGACATCAGTTTAGTTCGACACCAAATACCAGAAGTACTATGACAGTGTCATTAGTTTCAATAGTGGAAATAGTTGCAATTATAATAACAGTTTCTTACTGTGCTCGATTTTCGTGATTCCCATGATCAATCCTACCTCCTTCCACTAACAAAAGAAATCCTTTAGGATTACGAGAAAGTACTTTGATAGCAGCTTCTGTCATTTCTGCTAAACTTGGTTGGTCTTGATTTTCCAGTTGATAAGCCAAATGACTCGGAGAAAACAAACCTGAAAATCAATGTGTAATATTATATCTGAATGAAATGCCATAAAATGAATGATAGTGTCATTAACTCAACACACTTTAGTCCAATCAACACACTGCACGTGTAATCGATAACGCTTCAGGCAGCTTCATTTTGAAAAATAAATAAAGACTGAAAGTTGTTTACTAGTTACTGACTCACGAAAACATATGTAGCGAAACGTATGAATCAAAGAACCTACCCAAAACGTAGTCAACCAAAGACCAGTCGGTTCGTTTAAACTCATCGTTTGTATGTAAGAGAACATGTTTGCGATTCATTTTGGTCTGCATAGCCTGCCATTCAAGTAAAAGGTTGCGTGAATCAGAGCGTTTCCCTTTCATGTTGAAGGTGGTATTGTCTGACGGACCATAGAATTCTGCTGCCCCTCCTCCCATTATGACGTTGACGTGAGAAGCGTTCGTCAGTAGTTGTGTAGCAGCGTCTACGCAGTGGAATCCATGCTCGTTTGATGGTCTGAGTGAGAGGAGAAATAAGCAACAGTGATCATGATAATGCTCTCGTACGGCCATGCGTATATAGCCTCTGCCAGAGAAGTCATACTCACTGCCCTCTCGTGGCAAGGGTGTCGTTTACGAAAATGAGAGGACGAAAAACGAATGTCCGGCGCTTCAAGCGGATCCCAAACCAATGGTGCACATGAGCTCCAGTATTCTGAGGGAACAAATGACGTGTGAACCAGTTGTTGGTCACTGGCTACCATGGGGCTGCATCTCCTCACGATGCCCCACTGTCTTGTGGGTCAGACGTTCAGGTCGAAGGCTCGGGGTGTGGCCCCCTAAGGAAACCACCTGCTTCGGTTTGGGCACCCTGGCAGTATCACAGTCCACACACAAATAGAATGAAATGACGAAATTTACGGAAAATATTATTCTTGCTTCGATTAACAGTCAAACGAGTCATATTAGCATTCTTCTTCTTCTTCTTCTTCTTCTTCTTCTTCTTCTTATTATTATTATTATTATTATTATTATTATTATTATTATTATTATTATTATTATTATTATTATTATTATTATTAGTTGCTACGTCACTTATTCACTCTCCTTTATATCCACTTTGTGTGTGTGGCGCATATATATCTGATGCCCTCTTGTATCAATATTTATGTGTTCAAATAAATAAATTTATCCAAACACTAAGCTTAATAGATAAATTAATGTGGGTATGCTCTTATACGTATTCGTGAATAAGTTGGCAATTTATTCATGACACCTTGTTTTAGGCTCATATTGCACTGTGTTGGTAAACTAATGCACTTCGTGGACATTGAGTATATTATTGTGATTATCACCGGGTGATTTATTTATGCCGAATATTTTGTAATCAATCGTAGCATATTTATACTGCAATCCATTTTGGAATTTCGTGTGCAGCTAAATAAACAAGTCAATTTTTATAGATGATTAACGAATTATTGGTGTTTTAATTTATTTATCTGTAACGTGGGTGGAGGCAGTCGATCACATGGACGATAAAGTAATCAAAACAGATTCCCTTGACATTTACGAAGAGGACCTATTATAAACTCATTCATAAAACCCAAGTTCTTGCTCTCTATTTTGAACCAAGCATTTTTGTGTAGAAATGATAATGGCACTATCATTTTATTGGCCGAAACAGGTGAACGGTTGATTCAAACCTATCTATTCATGACTGTGCGGAGCCCAAATAAGAAAGTCATCAATAGGAAGGTTATTTTATTTAGGATCAGAGCAGTCTGACATAAGGTAACAATAAAGCAATTTAATGGATAAATGTTTGATAGCTTCCGGATGAATATTGAATTTCACTTCAGCTTTATAATTCGTTTTGAGTGATATGAAACAGATCACTTCTGGACACAAATAAACTTTATGATATATAGATACTACCATAGATACTACACTATCAATTTTTAAGGAATACTTAATCTCACCATTCTTAGATATTACATTCATAGTGTATTACGAAAAACCATTTTCTAACATTAATGCTTCTTAGTTTGTAGTACTCAGACAAATCACACAAAATAATAACTGTGAATGGATTTGATTACAATAAAATCTTTATCACTATAAAACTATATATAAACATAGTCATTGTCTAAGATAATTTGCACTTACCCTACCGACTCCCAATCTCGATGTAATATATTGGCATATGCTGCTGCGGGTGTTGCATGAGTTACTCTCGTAGTTGTAACTATTCCAGTGGAAAATCCTGCTCTAGAGGCATACATGAGAGAAGATTTCGCTCTTTCCATTTCTTTTAACTCAGTACATTCACAGCACTTCACTGTTCCCGTGACACCGATAGATTTGTGAGGCCCTTTAACACCTTAAAATGAGTTAAAATCAGCAGAATATGCAGCAAAAGTTACACATCAAACAACGACAGAAAACTAAATTGTTAAGTGTGCGATTTTGCATACATCTCATCATAATAAATCTATTCATCTTTGATAGTACAATGATCTGCTCATAGACTAGCATCTTATACTTCCAATTCAAGTCAAATTAGCATTCCTTCGACTTAAATTAGTGAACTATTGATATGATGTAAAGAAATGTCAATTTTTAATTTACTCAATATGAGTTTTATTCATCATCACATCCGTTTTGATTCAATCTAATGATTACTCAATGTCGTATTTGTTTTCTTTTTTCCTATATTTTATCCTGTATAATATACCAGATATAATAATTGGTGACGGGGTAGAAAAAATACAATCTAAAGTCAGTTTGTAATTGAACAAAATTCAGTCTAATTATTTCGAGCAATCAGCATCCAGACTTGTCATCAGTGTCCTGCAACGACATTGGTCATTATTCATACAGTAATTTTCATTACCGGTGCTGATTCAAAAAAACTCTCCCTTCCGATAGATTACAGCTTCTATTTGAACGACAGTTGCAGTTCTTAGTCAAATTACGCACGCAGCTGCTGAATCACTCATGCTTTGGAGATGTGACGGAAGTGGATGGATTAATTTTGCAATTGCACACTGAGCTGGAAAATGATTGCAGCCTCCACGAATCCTTGGCAAACCGTAATTTAAACGAAACGGCAGTCATTCAAGATCCACCCAGTGGTCCAGTACTGCCCATTTCAGAAACATGCCCTGTAATGGATTCAAATTTTATAGTCCCCGAAACACAATATACAAACACTGACCTGTCCAGCTCACAGAAAGACGGTGTCTTATTAAATGCACATGAAATTGTTGCAGTAGCCGCCCACGACCAAACACAAAATCAATCAAGCAGCATAATCAACACAGTTGCATCAAATGCAGCTCATCATTCTACCACAATAACATCCGATCAATCTACTGATCGCGGTTCTCTAGTTGTTTTATCAGATATGAGTGATCTATATAACTCACATGCTTTCGATCAAATTTCTTACAAAAATGGGGAAACTTTGTCAGATGCATCAAAAGATGATCAAGAATCTAATAAAATTTTGATAGACGCTGATTATTCTAGTGATGCACTATGTACCAATGAGATTTTTAAGAAATTTGATGAAAATCTTTCACAAGTATCAAACTTCGATCACCTCATATCAAGCGTCGTCCAGCCACACCACTCAGTCACTTTCAGTCGATTCTCTGCTCATTGCGATAAATATGTCTTAAATAAATTCAAATTAAATGTAACTTGGGTATATGAGGATCCAACACTGTTTCGCAGAGGAAGATGAACTCGGAAAATAAAAATCCAGTTATCAACTCCCGATCTTCAAAAAAGAGGAGGTGATATGATGGAAAGAAAAGTCAATTTTTGATTTACTCAATATGAGTTTTATTCATCATTACGTCAGTTTTGATTCAATGTAATCATTATTCAATGTAGTATTTGTTTTCTTTTCTCGTATGAAATTTTATCCTATATAATATACCAGATATAACAACTATGAAAACTGTATTTAACACTTAACCTTCCGAAGTCTTAATGTGTACACTTCAAAACATGTTCTTAGTTTGAAATGAACTTTGATTCGATTCTTCGACCGAATAAAACACATTATTTAGAGTATTCAAATGGGAAACACTGTAGAAGAAGTATCACTGTCCACTGGTTAGTTGTCTTAATTTAGCTCATGAATTCATGATCGAATACAAAGCTTTTGTTTTATCACATGGAGAGTAACATTATTGAATCACTCAGATGTGAGTTAATGGTTTTCGGTTACTGATTTCAATCAATTTGGTGTGATAATTACTAATAATTGATAACTAATCAATTTTCTACCTAATTGGCTCTATATAGCTTAACCGCACATATGAACTCCAACAAAGATCATAATAAGATAAACCAAGAAGAGGAGATGATTTTTTTATCTCTACTGCAATTGGCTTTCTCCAGATTATAAAATTATGAGAAATTCTGATCAATATAAGTACTCAATGGAGTGAGAACTTCATTAGTAGATATGGGATAATTGAATACTGATCAGAAACATCAAAATCGATCTGTATCACACCTACGTGGACCAAAATAACATCTTCCATAAAGTAAGTTAATCTCACTTGTAAGTGAAACTAATTATACATTTATCTATTCTGCAGAAGAATTACAGAAGCAATTTGATAAACGAGACTACCTACAGAATAGTGAGCCACAAATCATTTCAAGTGTATCTATCTTCACTATCTTCAAATATAAACATTGTTCTATGATCAACGGAACCTCCCGATTTTTATCACACAGGACATGTTTAGTCAAAATATGACAATAAGGCAGTAGTTTTCTCATAAAAAAACATTAGTAGTTCACCTTACGACTTACCTGACATAAAAGCAGTTGCCGCAGAACCTGAATCTGTTGTCAGTCTATCTGAGTTGAATGTACGGACAAGTGATGCAACAGGCCAGTTCTCCCACACTAGTTGTACATCACCACCTAAAAGATCCATCTTCTCCGCTTTCAAATATCTTGCTCCAGTAACAGTGTTCAAACTCATACCATCACCAATAAATAAGATGACATTTTTTGGTCGTTTGAGTGATAAGTAATATAATGATTGTTCAAATTTATTAAATCTCTCAACTGCCAACCTCTTCCAAGTTTCAGGATCTGTTACATTCAATAATGACGATTTACACTGAATTTTATACTGTGATAGTATGACTGCTATGAAAAACAGTAAGGATTTTGGAACTGTCGATAAGACAGTAGGAAGCATATTTTTGTCTTACGAGGTCTACAACTTTTGTCGTTTGATTTGGTTCGTTTAAATGCTATTTCACAAACCGAAACTTTCTAACATTTTGTCATGTACTGATTTCTCATTGGCTTATTTTTGGATTATCTAACAAATATGTGTCAATTGTAGACTTCAACCATTCACATGGTTCGGATTGTATCCATTATTCTAAACTTTAATAGGTTAGTTTAATTGCTGTTGTACTAAGCACACTACGTTAAATTGTTGATTCTCATTGCTAGTTTTATCAATCTACTTATCAGAACTAAGTAAATTGATATTTTTATGCTCTAAATACTGCTTTTGATGTAAAACGTTGCTGAAAATAAGGTTAGATATTAGTGAATATTGCAGCAGTGAAAGATCATAAATGTAGTTGATTTATTTATATAATTACGTCTGAGAATTTCATGTAAACTTATGACGTCAATGTGATGTTTATATGAACTAATAATTCTTTTGTACTTGATGTCTATCTGGTTTCGAATTCAAAATGCGATACGCTTTTTTGTGCTCACCTAGTTCTTTTTGTCTCGAATTCCGTTATTGCTGGAATTTCTAGATAGTAAAATTATTCAAATACCTCTGATTATCACAAGCCAACTATCGAATCCTCATGTATCATAATGATGATCGTAAGTTGGTAATCTTCACGACTATGAAGTCAATTTAAATGCATTCCGAGTTTATAAGTAGGAAGTAGATCACTTATGGTAATATTCCAAAATATAATAGATGAAAACATAAATTACATACTGAAAGTAATGACAGTACACTCACCAGTATATTGGAGTGATCACTTCATAGAACTGACTGATGACACAGAATATTATGTTGACAGATATCAGCTCAAATCTATTCACATTAAGTTCAACGTCAGATATTTTATGCCCAACTAAGTAAGATAGTTTACTGGTTAAGTAAAATCCTCCAAAAATTCACATTTTATCAAATATGGTAACTTCCTATAAAACCTTCATTTAAAGCTCTTTTTATATTCTTCATTGATATGGGATTTATCTGATTTATTGAATGATACGTCATACCTCTACTAGGTGGTAATAGTATATTATTTCAATAGATGATGAATACAAGCATTCTTTTCAAGAAACGAAGATAAGTTTCCTAAACCTTCTAAAGATTTGACCATTTACTTTTCTTGTTTTATATCCACAGAATACGTACAAACACGTGACATATTTTCGTTAGAATATTACGAATTACATAGGAGAGTAAATGGTTCCACTCCTAGATAGTCGTTCGCACAATCGTCTTGAAAGTTATTTCATGATTATCTTGTCCTTGTCTTTTTCCAAATAAGCTGTGACATCTCATTTCTTGATAGATAATCTCAATGGTTTATTGGTTAATTAGATATTGCCCTCATGTGAAATAGAGATGAATAAATATTCACAGGATGAAAACTAAGTAAGAATTCTCTACTGTTTTTGTTTTATATGCTTTTTGTGTCCTTCTTTCAAGATAAAAAATCCTATTTAGTAAATGAAACAATTTATAAATTAAACATGATCTATGTCACCTCGGTCTGATATCCTCATTAGAGATTCCGAGAGCCCCAAGTCTGGGTAGAAGAGGATAGTCGAAAGTGAGATTGACAACTTGATGAAATAGATAAGAACCTTACTACAAAAATGTTAACTAGACAAAGCCATTTAGATTCTGTACTGAGATCTGAAGAGTCTTCATAATGAAAGCCGATGTTCTACAGAATCCACAAGACTGATGAAACGTTCGACAGTCAGAGCAACAATTAATATAAGCAAATGAAGTGCTTAAAAAGTTTAGGAAACTGTGATAGTCATTTGAATAGCGACGGGCATGAGGAGATGCCGACTCCCTGTGCTTGGAATAAATAATAACAGCTACAAATGAGTCATACTACTGTCATTATTACTGATAGTGGTTCCAATTCACATGGAAGTACCCACAACGAATAAACAACGACATTAAGACCAGTACACAAAGATGAGTGCAAGGTTCGTATTTGTTTTTTTGTAGTAAATTAAACTTAAGGAAATCATGACACTTCACATTACCAAATATTTCAAGTAAAATAATATTGGTCATATTGAGACTGCAGGTTGCGCTAACACTTATTTCTCTGAATGTTATAGCAAACCTCTTAATCCAGATAGGGACAATACTGCTGATATTGATAAAGAAGAAATTGAGTATTTGATAACAACGTCGAGAATTCACTAAAAGATTCAAAAACGGTTATAGACATGAGGTTATTTATTTCAAAATTTAATTGTAGAAACTAATAGTATGGAATCCATTGTTTCAGAAATAATTATAAAGTCTCATGATTCCAGTACCATAATTATAAACATCGAAGTTTTCATTTCAAGTATTACTGTGTGTACGATATTTTTATTAGTGGATGTTATAATTTGCAACTCAAAGCTGACAATGTTCCACTGATAACTTGTGAATTTCTAGTCAGTGAGAATGAATCACTTATAGCTGAATTTAAAAAAAAATTTAAATAAAGCCAGAAAGAACATGGATGCATAATAATATGAACTTGTTATATCTCGTGGTTTCTAATCAGTTGCTTACAACCAAGTATGTGTTAAAATTTTAATTGAGACAAGATATAGTGTGAAATAATTGACATAAGTGAATGAAAAGAATTGGAATGACAAAGGTTATCAATAATTATATATATGCGAAAGAACAGGTCAGAGGTCATTTGGTGTTAGAACAAAAAAACATGAAGGTTGGGTGATGTAATAGTTGAGTAAAGTTCAGAGACAAATAAGATCAATTACGTGATAATTTTAGAGGTAATTAAGCGTTTGCACAAGATTCCTGGAATTAAAACTGGTAAGGTGGGTTGCGTAATAATTGAACAAGATTTGAAGAGTTCACATAATTCAAGTGAATTGAGTAAGTGTAAATACGTGAGTGAAGGAGTGGTTAAAACTTACATAAAATAAGAATTCGGTAGTAGAAAAACATCTTAACAAACTAAACATTAACAAAATAAAACCAATGACCAGAAATTGAATTACCAAGGTAGTAACAGGTTTATTACTGTCTCTTTTTGAATACATAGATCAGCTTTAAGTTTTTTACGCGTTTGCTTCAGCAACTCGAAGAGAAGCAGTTTTCCTTTGTCTGCTAATAATTTTTAAAGCTTGAGAAATTTCAGTTGTGTGCCCGGTGTCAAGTAAATGCTGAGCTTTAGATTGTTAAGAGCCCTTGACCCTCATAGTTTCAATTTATTTGGAACATGCTCAGAAATGCGAACATTTAAGCGTGTTTATAGTACAACTCCTTATATTGGTTAAGGAAGACAAATGTTTAGTGATATAAAGCTGTTGTTAGCTGCTTGTAAATTAGATATATGTTCACTGAACATACACATCTCTGTTCCAATGTTATAGCAAGAGACTTTATTATATCTGAACAAAGAATGAATGAATGGTAACTACTAGGATCAATTTATAGTCTATTATCACGTATATTCATATTGGATAAGTATCAGGTAAATATATTATATGTATATTCATGTTGCTTTCATTATAAGCTTTCGTTTGACCTGGTGACTATCATTATATGATTTTTTATTCTGCGGTCATTCCCAATCTATCAGTTACAAACTCTCACACTCACAGACACTTTCGGATTGATCTTGTATATTTGTTGTACATTATTCTATGGTGTGATGCGGTCTGGCTTGCTTGTATATTAACCATGTATGTCTGAAATATATGACTCATACAGTGAGAGTTGAGATTGTGTTCTGGACTCAATGGGCACTGAACGGCAACAAAATCAATAGAGACTCAGAGTCAACTCTAGGCTGCTCGTACTGATTAACACGTCATTGGTTTGACACAGAGCCAGAGTCAAATAAGTTGGTATCATATTGGCGATTTAGTCACGTGCTATTTGTAGGTCTAAAGAACATGACAGACTTCTCTGGCTTTCAAAAGTTTAGTCAGTTCTACGCTAGTCACAGACTTTGAAGATATGGAGAGATTAGTAAATGGGTGACTCCTGGCACAAATGCAAAACATTTTAATGAAAAAAAGCAAAAGCGAGATTGTTTAGAGACTGGTTTATGTGTTTAAATGCCGTGTGGTGGGAGTATAACATGACAGAGAACTATTGCAGGAACGACATTCGAACATACACAGAACCTTTATTGATTTTTACACCCAATACCACTGATACAATTAAACGCAGCCGTTTCATAAATCTGTAACTGCTGGTTCTATGTCGAGCCCACAGTTTATTTTAGCTTCTGGACATAGCAACCTACCCATTCTCCTCAAGCTATATTTTGACCTTGTTTATTGTTCGCCTATCAACCTTGTCTGCTTTTATATGAGCGTATGTGTGCTCACTTCTTATCTTACTCACCACATGTCTGTAAGTTATTTTTATCTAATTATAAATATCGATTAACTCTTGGTTAAATCGATGTGACTCTCCACTGTGCGTCATTTCGTTTCGCTTTGCTCTCTCCTCTTCCCTTCCTTCACTACATCTCTCTGATTGTGTGCTCCGATCAACGATTGTACAAAATATACGTAATAGAGACCCATTCTCGTATTTGACTTATTTAATTCCGTTATTCACCAAAGCGATTTAAGGCGATGATTATACGCAAGTATTGGCAATATGTATGTCCCTATAGTAATCAATCATACGATCTATCTGAAGTCAGATCTCGGGCCACTAAAGATCAAACACATTGCCACAACACCGGGAAGACTGTTCTAGATATTGTTGTTTGTTTTCAAAAAAATTAATTTATTTCAGATAACATGAGAGCTACATAATGTACAGAGTCTCTCGTAAATTAAAAGAACCTTCGACGTGGAATATAAAAGTCGCAGACAAATCCAGATTTCCATTTAAACGATGCTGTGCTTGTTGTGTAGTGTCGATTATTATGCTAAGCCCATATACCTTAATCTTTAGGACAGGCCAATCTATCCGTTCTTCTTGAGTCACATTTTGACCTTGTTAATTATTCG